TATATATAGATACATATATATATATATATATTTGAGTGCGGATCCCTCGCTGTTTTTCCGAAGCTCCGACGGGATCTCTTGGGGTGCGAAGCCCCTGAGGAGTGCGAGAGGGCCAAGGAGAAGCACGAAAAGGACGCCTACCTGGACCCCACCAAGGACGGGGATCCCGCGCCGGATCCGCCGGGAGTTGTTTTGCTTTGAGGTGCAAGGTTCCTGGTTTAAGAGGGGTGGGATTTTAAAGGGAAACAACTGAACACCCAAGAGTTGTTTTTCCCAAATCCCTTAGGCACATATAGCTCAATCATTTGTTCCGGGAAGGAGCCGACCTCGCGGCCGGCTTGGTCTGGGTGTTCAGAGTGTTTTCTGGGGGTAGGGTGGATGTGGGACCCCCTGCTTTCCGAGGATCCGCTCAATCCGTTTGCTGAAACGCCAATGGCAAAATAGGTTGGTTGATGGCCTTTTGCCAGTCTGCCCTTTAAATCCACATGGGAAAGTCATGGGAACAACATATTATACAATCGTAATCCTTAGCAACGGTTGTGTGCGCCAGGTATGTAAAACATAATGTAACATGTTGTGTATGTTTGTACGTGTATACGTGTATACATGTACAGTCTGAGCGTGTCTGAGTTGGTTGTCTATCTAGAACAAGAGCTCGGAAGAGCGACCCAGTCAACCGCTGAGAACAAGTTGAAGCAGGTTCGGCCAGCCCGGACATGAATGCACTTGCGCGGCTGATGGATCAAAGTCTCACCTTGAGGCCGAGAATTGGGTTGTGTGGAGATGACTGGGACAATCCCTTGTTTCATTTAGCTGCTTGGGAGCTTGCACCCTGGAAGAGCGAAGTGTTGAGTCTCGCTTCTCGCTTCACGTGGATAGACCTGCCTTTGTCCCATTGAAGCTTTGAAAGCCCAGCCGGGCCCCCTTTTGTCCTTTCCAGGTTTCACCCTTCGGGCCCATTTTGTCAGGGCTGTGTTTCCGAGTCTGAGCAAGTGGAGGTGTCCCCCCACAAATGAGTTCTTTAGTCGAGTACTGCACCCAGTGCAGCTTAAATTCTTAAACCGTAGCCAAAGAAATCCGAGAACTGTCACAACCATTGCACCGATAAATCCTTCAAGTGGAGGGAAGTTCCGCCTGGAAGGGACTTCATTGATTGCTTCTCCGGTTTCAAGGGGAAGCGTTGTGTCAAAGGGTTTCACCTCCAGACCCTTCGGCTATACATAAAGAAGGGGCACTCCAATTCGGCAAAAGCCCAATTTGTGTTCAAAGTGACTCGCTGGAGACCAGCCTCTAAATTGTGGTTTAAAGGGATTCCCAAGCCCCCAAGTAAGTTTGAGATTCTCGGGAACGGCGTTTCCAAAACACAGAGGGACGTCGTTGATCCATTGTTCCATTTGTTCATCGATCGAAGAGGCGGAGGAGCACAGAGAAAAGGGCAATGAACTCTTCAAGGCCGGGGGAATGCCTCATCGCTGTCGATCTTTTGGTTGCCAGGTTGGACGGGAACTCTTTCTCACTGGTGAAAGTGAAAATGGCAATTTGCTGGTGCTCAGCGAATGAATGAACCCTATAAGCCATCCCTTGTGTCTTCCTCTAAGGGTTTCCCTGAGTTCATTCTGTCATTCCCTACCTATCGCACCACCAAGACAGTCTCCAGTGAACAACTGCAGCGAGGGAGCTTCATCCGAAACTTGAGCTTAAATTGTGACAGCGAAGAAGCAAGTTGATTGCCAACAGACCTGGGCATACTTGCGGGCGCCTGAATTTCAGCCGAGCAGACGTGGCCTTTTAGATGGTCAGGGAAACCAAAAGGAAGCCACCAGCCAATTTCAGTGCATGTGTTTTGCTTCTGAACCTGTTTTTTGGTGTCTGCACATAGAGAGCCTACTTGGTACGATTTCACACCAGCTCAGGAGCTTTCGCTAGTTTACGAAGAACTTATGTCATGTGGTTATGCGGGTGTTATGAGCGGGTTCTAGTTTCCTCCTTGCCACTGACAACCGCAGGAGAGAGAAGTCATGTCATCATGCGACCAGCTTGTGTTTCAGGGTGCTTCCAAGCAAGTCCTTGGCTGCTTTGCAGCATTGCCGTGAAGAGAAGACTCAAACCATGTTGATTTTGATGACGCGCCCGAAGACCTGCGCCGTGCGCTTGCCGTTTTTGGCTTCTAGGCCTTGTGATCATTGTGGTTCAAGTTCAAGGCCTGGAATGCCCAATTCGGAGCAAGTTGTCCACACTCAGAGGTGACTCCTGTTGACTTTCCATTTTTTGGTGAATGCGAAGTTGACGTTGAATAAGCCGTGAAAGAACCGGCGCCGTGAAATTCGCAACCGGCATGCAGCTTCATCTTTGCACGCACACAATGCATGGAGCAAGCTGAGTTCGCAACAAGGGCAGGACCAAGTGAGGAGCAAGCACCCTCATCGCCTCGCTATACAACTGCTAGCTGTGAGCATTAGACCTGTCAAAATTCGGGCCTGTTTTGGGACATTGGTGACATTCCGGTGACTCCTTCAAAGGCGGCCCCAAACAGGGTCCCTCATTTATCCACCTACCAAGTATGCGTCTATGCACTCCAAACCCATTGTCTGTGTTTGTGTCTGGGCGCTGTTTGGAAGACAGGTATTTGAGTTTCCTTTTTCCCTGTTCCGCCAAGCACGCGGCTCCAAGAACATGCACTGGATGTCAACTGGCCCCGGCATTTGCTCCCAAAGTCACGAGTGTTTTTGTGTTTTTTTCTTCGGAGGGGGTGTCTATTTTGAGGCTCCGGACCCTTAATTGTTTCGTGGTTTTGAAAGCAAAACGCCGCGGGGGTCCGATTCCTCACCAGCGCCGCCCATGATCTGGGCCTCCAACATATAAGCTGGAATTTTGGGCTTCATGGGTGTGGGTCAAGAAAGGTACCCAAAATGAGACCCAAACCTTTGGTAGAAACATGGCATTCAAAGAGGAACCCAACTTGGAACCCAAAATGGGACGCTGGAAAATGAAAACACAGACTCAAACCTGCGGGAGCCACACCGCCTTTCGTGGCCCATGGCGCAGCCAGAGACATCGGGCCGCCGGGACTGGGAAGGGTTCCCGGCACTTGGGTAGAAAGCATGGCCCCAACAGAAACCGCTGCGATGTTGCTCACGCATTGGCTGATGTATTGTGGGAATGGTGTTGTTTTTTTCGTCTTCTCGTTGATCGGTGTTTTTGCAACTTCTGTCTAGTTGCAACACAACGTAGCATGAACACGTATTAGCCACTATCCAAAAGAGCGCAGAAAGTGAGATGTATCTCCCTTTTTCACTGCGGATGGTTTGGGAGGTGACGCTGTCTCACATTCACGAACCTTGGCAGAAGGCCCTACGTGAGCTCTCGGGCAAAACTGGATCCCATGAGAGTTCTTGTTTCGGGAATGATATTTTGGTTGGTTTGCCTTTGGCTGCGCCTTGAGTACCAACCAAGGGGGTCCACCATTTTGAGAAGCTCCCATTTAAATACGTGAGGCCCTGGAGTGAGTGGCTCACACCCACACCCACACAAAGCCACACCCGCACCTTTCCTTAATGTATATGAGGTGGGGGATAGATGTACAGGGGTGGTTCCCATACATTGCTTGAGTGAAGCATGCCACAGGCCCCATGCCAAGCATGTGGGATGCCTTTGCGGAGTTCCCACATCTCACAATTGACTAGCAACATGTCGTTGGTATCTTTCAGTTTCGGGCACAGTGGGCAGTAGTGTTTCATTTGCCAAGATGTTTATTTTCCCAGTTGGTCGTAGATGCTATCTATCACGCTCGGCAAAGATGTTGTCGAATCGCAAACAGGTGGCAAGCAAATTGATCAAGCAACAAGTCAGCGTAGATGCCTCCAAGTAAAACACCTCGGCTTCCTTCACGTTGACTTGGATGTTCACCCCGTGGAGTTAAGCGCAAGCGTTCCAGTCACCATGCTTGCAACCTGCCAAGTTGGTATGTTTGAACATCCCAGTGTGTTGGAAAGCCAACCCCTTATGGATGGCGTTTAGAGGGACTCCGAACACAAATCCCCCAGTGGCCCCCAGTTCTGGAAAGTTTGGCTTTACGGCCACGTTCTCTCTAATGCAAAGGGAGTTCCCTTGAGAGTCATACAATGATGGACAAACACATCCTGAAGTATTCCAGCTGAAAGAAAGGTCACTTCTTGCCAAATAATGTAGAGAATTCTCTTGTAAAGCATGTGGTTCTTGAATGTATCCTTTATATAAAGAACCCTGGTGCCCCAGTTGCAGGGCCGGTAGAGAAAGGGAACCATGGCTGGGCGCCATGTTATTGAAGGAATCCGCAAGTCTTTCGGGTTTGGCATGGAATCAAGGGAACTGTTCAAGCACTTCAACAAATTAGGAAGGGTTACCTACCTTAGGGGTAAGCTTGAAAGATAGCGCAATTCCCTTGTTACCAATTGGACATGGAGATGCAATCACAAAAAAATCCCTGAAGAAGCAACGCAACCACTTTGGGCGCCTAGAACGCCCTCTTAGAAACGTGTTGGGCGCCTGGATTCTATCGCCCATTTCAGGAGCCGGGCTCCGAGGAATGGCAACGGCCCTGGGAAGCTCGGCTGGATGGTTTTTGGGGTCGGAGCCACGTCAAAACCGATTTGGGTAGATGGTCTGGCAGGAATTGCGTGGTTAGCTTTGACCTGGTTGTAACCCACAAAAGCCACGGTTGTACAGTAAGTCCCCTACCAGGGTTACTAACCATGTAGCGATTCGTCCAAATGTAAGTATATGAAGGTTAGGGCATGAGAAATGGAATGACCCTGAGAAAAACCAGCCCTGCTTTGGTTTCCTTTAAGGGAATCCTCAGGTTCATTCCCACATTTCCAGCTGAGCACCAGCAAGTTTGGGGATGATCCCAATCATAAGGTTTCTTAGACGGTCTGGGACGAATCGCTAGATGGCTAGTAACCCTGGGGACTTGTAACCATTGTAAGTGGGTTACAAATCTGCAAGGGTACCCTTTGTCCACTATGGACGTGGACATTGCTTTTGACGAGGACGGTGATGCGAAACCCGGCTGCCCGATCTAAGGAGACCAGCCGTGACCGGTCCACCTTCGCCCTGGGTTTCGCAGCGGCGCTGGTGACAGATGTCTTCGTGGATTTGTCCAGGAGACATGAGCCAGGGTTCCCAACTTATGGGTTTGGATGAATGGTTAGTGACCCTGATTAGAGGGCCTATGGGACTTACAACCATGGCGTTGGTGGGTCCACTTAGCCAACTCCCAGACCACCTATGAATACATGTACTTATATATATATATTATACTGCTGCTTTAAGCATCACCTGGGTGATTTGATTTGTGCGATTCCTGGTGTGATGCTGAAGCTTCCTTCCAAGATTTCCGCGATGATTGGCCACAAAGTTCCATTTGGTCTGCCATCTCAGAGCCTACGTCCCCAATTTGAAAGGGAACTTCACAGAACCGAGTACCTTTGCTCTAGAGGCCCCCAGCGCAAGGGAAGATATACCACATGTCTTGAAACCCAACTTATGCAAATAAGATCCTGAAACATTCTTTACAAGTTAGCAATTTATGCAGGGTGAGGCAGAGGTTTGGCAAAATGTATGCGGGCAATGCTGCAGGACCTCTGCTTCACTGTGCAAATGAGATTAGATGTTGCCCGGTTCTGCGATACAGTGAGCCCTTCCTTGAAGAGGTAGATATTGAGAAGGCCGTTTCCTGGTGATGTCAGAAGGGTGGCCATCTGCTCTCAGATTGAGTGTCCCAACATACGGAATCGTAGCAACAAATTGGTGGTGGTATGTGGTGGTTGTTTGTCGCTGGTCCCTTTCTTAGGCTTTTCCTCCCCCAACAAAGCACGTGGCAAAATATTTGTCCACATTTGGGTGAGCGTAGTTCCAGCAAATTCGACCCATTTCAACTGCTCTTGATTTATTTATAAAGGGAGTGCCTATGTCTGACAACTGGAAGAAGTGATCTTCCGAACGGGCCCTGCCTGTAATAATTGAGGACCACTTGTCAGCCTGCAGATCGTCGTTTCAAACGAACACCAGCAGGACAACCACCTGCCTAGTCTTCTGGTCCTTATCATTGAATCACTTGAGAAACCACATAGAGGGCTTGTCCCCAAAGGAACAGCCATTTTGATGTTCCATATCCTATTTTGAGGGGATCGACCCGAAACAACGCGTTTACTGTAGCATGTCCCTGTCGCTGGTTTCTTAGACATGTTTGGCTTTTCCATTTTGGTTTCTGCCAGGACGTTGCTGCTTGCACTGCGCCTGGGCAGCGTCCAGAACCCGCCGGCTTACTCCTCGGATGCGACCATCCGCCCAGGCGATTGCCAGTGCAAGCGGCAGAGCAAGCTCAGCTGAAAGCGGGGGATCCTTAGGTTTTGGGGGTAAGCCCGGCCCTTTAGTGGTCAATTGTTGTCCTTGTTGTTGGAGAGTTTTGTTGTTGTGAAACACGAAGAAAAGAGAAGAAGTTGTTTGTTGCGGCGGAAATCCACGATCGTGCCTGGCATAATCTCAGCAACAGGTGCGGCGCCTATGTGCCCCTTTTATACCAGTAGAGGTGCTAGTTTTTTGGTCAAAGCTAAGGCAGACAAAAGAAGGTGCTTTTTTCTCATGGTCACTGCATGGATAGTGGGCATCTGGGTGCTTTATTCCCATGAGCTTGCAAACCAAAATCCCCTTTTCAACGTGCTGGGCTAAAAAGATCAGAATCTGCGATTCACTGGAGAATCGAAGCTCAGAATAGTCAAGTTACCCTTAGTGAGTGGTTGCTTTGGGGATTGAAACTCTTGTAGAGGGTAAATGGGAAACTGTCCTTATCCAAATTAATTGGAGGCAGGCTGGATCATGGGGCTGGTGAGCTACGGATCGAAAGGTTAGAACTAGTTGCAAAGGGCTGTCAGAGATATGAAGCCCGTGTGAAACCCCTTGGGACCCCTTGAAAGGCGTTTCAAAAAAGGGCCCCCCTCCGCGCATATTACTTTGCACATCACCCTTGAAGCCCGGGTTGGCGCCAAACAGTGGATGTGAACTGTCAGCAGATGGATGATGCGTGTTCATCTCAACTGGGCTGTGATTTTGCCAGATTCATCCAATCTCAGGCCCTCCCAAATCACTGCTTGTGGAGCAGCCAAAACAACATTCTACCTGTTCTCGCAAATTCGTGTATTCATGCGTGCCAATTTGTTGATTCCGTTTGTGAGCCTCCTTCCAAAGTAGCGCAACTGGAATCCAGCTCCAAATACCCCCCCCCCCCACATGGCTTTGGAATTCAGGTTCATAACCTGATTTAAGGTGACTGTTTAGAGTTGTCAAGTTAGATTTAGATTCCCCAATCAAACCCACATGAGATGACAACAGCAAGCCTCTTCGTTACGTAGAGACACGCCCGCTGATTAGACCGATATAAGGGGGTACAGAAGCGAGAACGTGATTACCAAGGCCTTGATGCCTACTGAACAGCGAGGGGTGGAGACAAGGCGGATAGGGTCTTACATGCCAACAAAAATGACGCGAAGACATTTGGAGGACTACAAGACCTCCGGAGGACTGTGGGAAGACTACCATAAGACTACCGGAAGTTAGGTAGATGTAGAGTAGCTGAAGAAACTGAAAAAGATGAGGGGGCACAAAAGCGAATACGATTGTAAGACAAGACTTCCCCCTTTCTGTTGCGCACCCCACGAGCTTCTGTCAGCAGGTCATAGATTAAGGTGCATTTGGGAGGGACATGGGAGACTTCCAAGACACTCACTTTCTGGTTTTCATTGGATCAAGCAGCACACGGTGACCGCCGCACTCCCTTTGCTTGACAGCCCGGTGCTTCCAATTGCCACTATAGCAGGCCACCAAGAGTTTTCGACTCTGAGTTTTACATGGGTGTTCTTTTTAAATGGTGATAAAGGGACACCAACAAGAAAGCCACCATTTTACCTTTACCAAACACCCTCAAAAAGGACATTTCCACTGGAAACTGGAAACTCTGGTCTTCTCTTTCCTAGGGTTTCGCTTTGGAGATCCGCCAGGAGATCTCTACTTTCTCCATCTCATGATGCACGGCGCCCATGATGCCGCCATCAAAGCCATGTGCTCGCTGGGCATCAGATGGCGGCTTGGTCTAATTGAACAGGGATCCTTAAAAGATACATTTTGCCCATTTGAAACATGGCCTTTTCCACCAAAATACAGGGACACCATCATTTACATATAAATTAAGGATCCCTGTTGAACTCGAGTATTTTGCCGAAGAGGAACATAAAGGGTCCCAGTTCCAAACAATGATAAGTTTAGAGGGTTCCGCATGAGTGTAGCTGTCCAAAGTATCGCGTTGTGGCTAGATGAAAGTGGCACTCTGCAAAAACACACACCCTATATAAACACTCTTCAACAAAGAAACCCATGTAAACACCCTCCAAAAAACACACGCTATATAAACACTCTCCAAAAAACACACGCTATATAAGCACACTCCAAGAGAACGCCCTATATAAACAGCTCGCTTTCTGGCGAGTCCCCTTTTTCTGCTCGGGGGCGCTTTTGTTTCGCGAGGCGCCAGCTGTTGCAGCGGTTTCTTTGGCTGGGCAGCGGGGCCCTCCTGGTCTTGCTGCTGGCGGGGTTGCTGGCGGTGTTGAGGGTACTTAGAGACTTAGATGGTCAACACCTGGAACTAAAAACATGGTCAACCCAGAACCACGAAAGCAACTAAGCATTTGCTGCACTCATGTTTGATCGTGATATTTCCCTAACCTTCACCTTTCAGGTTGGTTTGTTTGCCCAGACCCGAGGTTCCCTTTTGTCCTGGAAGGGATTTCCCTTTAAACACCAAGTGCCCAAAACGCCAGCCTTTTTAATTCACAGGAACCGCTTCCCGTTTCTGTTCCACAGCCGCCCTGAGTTCTCCAACCTGTCAAACAGCTGGCCTTAAAGGAAGATACTCAAAAAAGAAATTTGGGGCAGGCCCGGAATGCTTGAAACGGCTGGGACCATCCCCGCAATAGTGAGGCAGGTATCGGACAGACCTCTGTGCAAGGGCTTAAACTTGTCTGGAGAAACGGCCCCAGTTTTCTGGGCACATGTGTTCCAGGTAAGCCTTAGTTGATGGTTTGGGCCTGGTTCTTGAGGTAAATGAGAAACCGCGCCTGGAACACCTGCAAACCACAAATCCAAACCACCAATTTAATTTGAGTGATCATTCCCTTGAATGCCACAAACATGGATGCCGAAGTAAGGACACTTTCTACCCCTTGGAAAGGAGGGCTGGTGCGGCAACGAGTTCTTCACAATGTTTCAACCGGGTGGATTGCAGCAGCACCAACACAGACTCCAGAACGTCGTCCTTCCAAAAGGGACGCTGCACCACTCAGGTGTGTTTGATGTGCAACGTTTGAGGCGCATGCCCCGGGAACAGCGAAGCAAACAAGCGCGCGCACACACACACAGTCATCCGAGGCCCAGTTCGGGGAAGCAAGCTGTAGTTTCAGGACTGACCAATTCTGGGCTCGAGGGAACGACTACCTTGACCAGACACATACCCTTCTTCCCTTTACATTGGAATGAACGTAGGTGCTACAACTCACCTTTAAAGCAAAATGGAATCGGAATCAACTAGCTGGATGAAAACACGCCGGCTGCGTTCACCTTTGGGTCTTCCTTTGGGAATTTCTTGTGGCATTGGTCCATGGAGAGTAGCAATGATTTACATAGCTCAGCCTTTGCTCCCATGACTTTCATTTGATGCAAGACCCCGGTGGCCCATTTGGTTTTTTTAAATTGAGCCGAGGAGCTAGAGCCTCAGGGGCTGAAGCTTAAAGGGGACAAGTTGCGTGTTCTCCGGACCTGCCCCAAGGATCAATTAGAATCCCTGCAAGGAGCATCAAAAACACCGGTATATTTACAGTGTGTTTGAGGTATAGGACACCACTCCGCCAGCACGTAGTATGAAACTAATGGACACACTGATGTACATATTGCTCTTTTCTGAGTCTAGTTGACTTTTCGATTTTTGATCCTACTGTTACAAGCTACTTTGTTTGTGAAGACATGTCCTGGGCGAACACATGCTAAAAGCAGTGGTATTTGCAGTGCTTTCGAGGTATACATAGGATGCCACTTCTCCATCATGCAGTACAAAACAAGACAAACAACGTACTACATGGGTTAGACAATGGATATGAAAAGGAGTATTCTACGCGTTGGCCCTGAGTCTTGATCCGCGCAGGTGGTGCACCTAGCCTTCGTGAACCCATCGACTCAGCTCAGCGCCAGCCGAAACCTGTCCGCGCTGCTGGAGACCTATTGCTCCCAGGACATGGGCTGAGGCAAACACCGAAAAAGGACGAAGGCGAAATGGTGGTTGAGGGTTTGAGGTGGTTTAAGGGTGGTTTACTGGGGGTTTACTTACGGGGGTTTAAGGGGGTTAATGGGGTTCAGGGGGTTTAAGGGGGTTTAAGGGGGTTAAGGGGGTTTAAGGGGGTTTAAAGGGGTTTCAAAGGGGTTTCAAAGGGGTTTCAAAGGGGTTTACGGGTTAGGGGGTTTAGTTTTTAAGGGGAGGGGGGTTTTACTCCAAACATCCGGTGGAGATGTCCGATTGTACTTGGCAATTGAGGCAGATCGAAGCTCACCACCATGGCAGTATATCCCAGAGGGTCCAGGTGGACTGCCTTGAAAGCGGGATTCCACTGTGTCGAAACCCCAATCCACTCAAGTAGGTGAAATCCACCCATGTTATTGTTATCAACAGTGGGGTGCACCTGCCAGACTCGTTTTGTTGACGTCAAAGCATATCAACTGACACCAAAGAGGGCCAAGTCAAATGCACCGAAAGGAAATCGGGTAGGCCAGTGACTTGCGAATGATGGGCTTTTGCTGCTAGGTATCATTGGGGCTGAATCTGTTTTGAGGCTTCTCCTTGGAGTCGCTTTGAAGGTAGCGTCTGGGTTACCGTACTTGGCATGTCACACTTCTTGCAAAGAGGGCCGCAGAATAAGTTCAGTATGCCAGAAATTGCATTTTCTCATACAGGCATGAGGATTTCGACAAGTGTGGCAGAACGACTCAGTTTCATCCTGAGATGCTTTACAGTTTTGTTATTGCCATTCACTTCATCCATGACAGCCTCATGAGTATACAGGCGCGCCCTTCTCTATGCACATCGACTTTGGGTCATGCTCATGGGATTGTTTCGTTGTATCGCCATCACAGACATCTCGGCGGTTATTCTCTGATGTTATTGTATATAAGCGGCATAAGCAGAGTTTGGCTTGCACGCTGATTGATTTGGCCAGGAGGCGACCTGGCTGCTTCACTTGGAGCTTTTGGAGACCTGGACCAGGCCGACGAACTGGACGGAGATCGGCGAGGAGGAGAATGCCACCTTGGCCGCTTGGAAGTTACGACTTCAAGCGAGGGCATAAAATTAACTTGCCCGAAGCAAATTCACTATTGACCTGTTGCTTTCTACCTGTTTTGTCATGGTTCGGCAAAGGGCAAACCTAGTTCGGCAAGTGTTAAGAGCCACCTTGTTTGACCATGTTCGGCAGTTGGACAATCGTGTTCTCGTTTCTCTCGGGGAGGGCAAAGTTCGAAAGGCGGAATAAATGCCCTCACCAAGAACGCAGTCCCATGATGAATATTTACATAATTCACGTAGATGTTGCTCCAGGTGAATTGGTGCTAGAGAGTTGCGACCCATCGAGCGGTCGCTGGCCACCCCTCAATTACACACGGATATTATGGACTGCACTTGTGGAAAAACAGCCTTCTTCAAAGGGCCTCAACAGCCACGGTGCGTGTTTAGGTTTGTTTGCCGAAGGAAGATCCCAAGAGACCAGCCGGACATTAATTTTGACGTCCATCAACACCCTAGTGCTTGGTGTCTAGCAAGTTTTCTCTATGGTGTGTTCTTGCCGGCTTATAGATTGTTGCTTTGACCAAGCTGGTTGCAAGGTTGTGGTTACCTGACCGACCTTTGTGTGTGCTTGGTTCACCGACCCGAGAAGCGCATCCAATGGCTTTGTTTGAGGCCACCCGGCCGCGGCCGCCCTTTCATTTCTTGGCACCTTGCCAGCCTCAATGGATTGAAACGGTGGTAGATGGAGACATCCCAGAGGTTTCGGGGCTTTCTCATGAAAGAACAGACCCCTCTTCCCAATTTGTTCGGGTGGTTGTTAAATGACATCCAGAAGGACACCATATCCTTGTAGGGGTCCATTTTTGAGAAACACCCAGGTGAACATCCTCAAACGTCTTGGGGACTTAGCTCACCTCGGCTACGAGGCAGCCTTCCCCAGGCAGGTTGGACCGTTGTTATTTTTCTTCGGCGACCCCCAAATGGCTTTGGTTTTCCTTTGGGTTTCCCTTAAAAGCCGCAAGCAAAACGGGGTACCCAAACAAAGTAAGGAGCCATGCACCCGTTTTTCAGATGAGTCTTGGTTGGATTGGGGTTCTGGATTTGGAGTTGAGAGTCCGAATCTTGTGGAGCAAAGCTGAATTGGAGAAACGGATTGGACTTTTTCTGGAATGCACTCAGGAAGTGAGGGCTGCCCTGTTGGACCCCTGTTTTTGGACATGAGAGCAAGAGCTGCATTCACTTTCACTCGTTGGTGTCACTTTCAAGCAGGGAACACCCAACAAACGACATGAACGCTACCTGCATATTTCGACCTGGTGTCCTATTTGTATGGGGGACTAATGAAATCCCGGCCGGTGTCTATGAGGCTACAATTCTTAATTGCGAACTCCCTCCCAGATGGTGGGTGGACAGAAATCTAATCCTAAATGATGTCCAAAGATGCCCTGGTGAAGTTGTCAGCATTGCATCCGCTTGGGACTGGTGTGTCAGTGGTTCTTGATTCGTGGGGGTTGCAAACCAAATCCCAAGCCGAACCTCAAATCAGCCCAAAGGCCCTGTTCCTCCCATTTTGGCAAATGAAGCAATCCACAGGGCATTTGCCTTTCAAACCAATCCAATGGGTAGGGCCACCCCCCCCAAAGTTGCCGGGTCTTCCTTTGGCTTTCCTTCAAGAAGGGTCGTGTACCCTTCAAACTCATACCCAAAGGGGTATCACACCCGAAACCAAGCACAAAGGGGTATCACTGGTTGAAGGTTTATCTAGTACACCAAAGGGGTAAACCAACCAAGAAAAGCACACAAAGGGGCATCAGGGGTGAAAGGTTTATCTAATACCCCCAACAAATAAACCAAAGGTTAAGGGTTTCCTTGAACCCAAGCACCAAGGGGTACACCCAACATCCCAGCTCCGCCTTCGCCAGGCCCTCCTACGAGCTCGCCAGCGACAGCTCCTGGCTCGCGGTGCGCTCCAGAAATCTCCGGCGCGGGCAGGCGCGCGGAGCTGATTTGACGCGTCGAATGGACAGCTTCAACGCGACACAAAGGCGTACCAAGGTTGGGTCACCAAAAAGCGCTCAAAATGGGTGTACATGGGTACCTGGAACGACCAATGGGTGTTTGGATGCAAGTGCTGTCTGAATTCACCCTCAATCCGGGGTGTCTCCAAAGTTGTGTTATATTAGACTGAATCCGGACCAGAACATGCACGTAGTGTTGTATTCCAGATTTCGGTCAAAAAAGACTTGAGTCATAGAACAAGCCTCAAGGCTTCAGAATTACACCCTATCTTTCCTAGCAGAGGTTGATTAATCCGGGGTCAACTTTTTGCCTCAAACAGGAACAACTTACTGGTGCTCAGTAGGGAATGAGGAAATAACCCCTATAAACCATCCAACTGGTGGTTTCCTTTAAGGGACTCCTCAAACGGTTCATTCCCACATTCCCTATCGCACCAGCAAGAGAAAGGGGGGAACATAATATGAAGGTTTGTCAAAAGTAGCGGCACTTTCGGTATCTCCTATAACAAGGCGGCACCTATCGGCGGCACCAAGTCCCAAGAGGGGCCATATTTTTGACAACTCCTCATACAAAAAAGCCAAACGTTCCCAAAGGGTCAACTTTACGCCTCAAAAAACGGGGAGAATAACTGATGTCTAGCTTTGCGCCTCAAAAAGGAGCAACTTGCAACAAGGAAAATAGCTGGTGTCTCAGCAGAGATTGATTTTTTGCCGGCAAAACGCCCTCGCAGGTGTCCACGCATCACTTGCAGCTCTCCACGGAGAATGCCTCGCTCTTCGGGCCTCGCTGGGCCAGGACCTGGCGCTCGCGGCCTTTTTTTTTGGCGGCGGGGTTTGGATTCATTCATGAGAGCGGGAAAAAGAGGGGAGGGAGCCCAAAACAGCCCTGAATAAGACGTTGATAAGGCATAAAGGGCAAGGGCTTATTTAGGCTTCCCCTTCCTCTCTCCCCCCCAGCCCCCATGATGTGTGTGTTTTTCGGTTTGGTACTGTGGATGGTTGCGAAATCCGTTCGCACCACGAAATGACACCATGGTTGAAACCGTAACGTTGGTTGATATTTACAGGGGAATCATCGGAAACCAGGGTTTCCGAAAGGTGGTGCAAAATGGTTTTCGTCCATCCACAGTATGTGGCCCCCCTTTCTATTGCTTGTGCGATAGGGAATGTGGGAATGAACCGTTTGGGGATTCCCTTAAAGGAAACCACCAGTGCTGAGCATCGGCAAGTTTTTGTGATATGTTGCCCTGTTTGGTTGATCTGTTTTTCCGGTTTGGTTGCGAAGGTGAGCGAGGATTTCGGGGTGTTCCTGGCCTCGAGGTGATGTTTTGAGCGCCAAATGTGGCTGGCAACCCTTGCGAAGGGAAGTCAGATCTTTGGAGCGGAGGACTGCCCCTTTGGAGGGAAAGCTTGGCTGCTGTTGTTGTGGCGATTGTTGTCGATCGGCTTAAGGAAAAAATGAGTCATGGTGAGGACGCTTAGGTGTGCTTTCAGGTTAGGAATAGACGTGTTCCACTGGTTTATATTTTACCAGGGAAAACATATCAACCAACAATGGAAGCATATTTTCATGCACCAGGGAACCCATCTATTTCTACCCAAACGCACATGACTGGTGAGGACGCTTCAGTCCACCTTGGGGCTCTACGACATCTACGTGCTCCACGCCCTTTCGCCGCTGAGCCCCTGCGAGGGTCGTCTCTTCGTGTGGGTGGCCAGTGGCAGCGCGCCGCTGAGGCCACACCCAAAAGCGAGCTATTTGGGTAGTCAGATGGTCTGGAGCTTAGCTAAGTGGTTAGTAACCCCGGTTGTTAAGCCGCTTGGTATGGTTAACCAGGGCTACTCCCCTATAGCCAGGATACTACCCATTTAGCTAAGTCCAAGACCATCTAAGTATGTGATTAATTGGGTGTCCAACCTGGTTTCGCTTTGGCGTTCCTTTGCAATTTGGAAGCCCAAAATAA